GTATAAAACTTAAGAATTTTCATTTATTAAAAGACAGGTGAAAGAATGAGAGAAGATATTTAAAGAACCTAAAATTGGTAAGGGATTTGATTAAAGAACTGTACATCTATAGCAAGAGGGCAGCTACATCTTTAAAAAGTAGGCAAAGGATATCGATAAGTAGTTTACAAAATAGAACATCTTAAGAAAAAGAAGGGATGAAGGTATTACTGATCTGAGACATGCAAATTAAAACAGTAATGGAATGTCTTTTTATACCTATTAGATTGACAAATATTAAAAAGCTGGGTAGTGCTAGTGTAGGTGGGGACATGGGGATACAAGAAAACTCATACCTGTGGGTAGACTGACAGTTTTAGTGGACTTGTGTACTTTTGAGATGTTCAAAGTCTCTGTGGACCAGAATAGTGAAAAATAGCCCAATGGTCCTGAACCAAGACGGTGATGGAGAAAACAATTGTTGGTGTTTTTTGAAATAGGAAACTTGATGAATATACACTGAGTGCTGGGATGGTTGGTTTCTCAGTGATCAGGCCATATCTGGAAGAGCAACTTCGATTGAAGTCACTACTAGGTGTGATTTACCATAATATAGTCATTCTCCAAGACTTATCTCCTGCTCAGGCCAGATAGACTGGTGAAATTGGAATGTCGTAACAATCACCATCAAGTCTTTGAAGTTGGTAGTATTCTCTATTGTTCCCACACAGATGTACTGTTTGTCACTGTGGGGTTTGTTAGTTTTCACAGGATGGGGGGCACACATTGGGTCATTGGCCCTTCCTCAACTATAGCCCTACCTCCAGGGAGCAGTTAACCTGTGTGTTCAGGAACTGAGGAAATTATAGGGTGGAACCTTGGATCCATGGGGCCCCTCATGAGATGGATTGAAGCCAAAATGCCATTTATCTAGTGATGTCCATAAGTCCCTGATCTTACTGGTTTACTATAGTGAAATGCTGGTCCCTGAGGGTTAGTATGGGCTTAGAGCTAGTGTTCTGTAATCCTTGAAAAATCTGAGTGATTTCCATTCCCAACTGTACTGTCTCTCTAACAGATAGCCATGTGTTCCACTGGAACAGGCTAGAAGGAAGGCTTAGGTATGTTCTTTCAGCAGTTTTGGAATTCATTTTCTCCTTTGTTCCAGGGGTTCTATGTCTGAACAGGTTCAAACTGGGTATTAGGTGAGATTTCTCATGGCTCTCCATTGTGGTCACTCAAGCGAGACCTTTGTTATACTTAAAAGAGTGTTCTGCTCTCATTATTCAGATCAAGTAACATCTTGATATACTGCCTGCTTATTTTTCTTAAGACACCATAATTAGCTGCCACTAGAGCCAAGCCATCCTGATAATCACTCTGACCCTGCTACTCATTAAAATAATCATGCTCACTTTATATCTGGGAGTTATTTCTACTTATCTTTTGTCATTATGGAAATTGAACTATCCCATTGAATCAGAGAGCCCTCTATAGTGGCAGTTTTGCTCATCTTTACCCAGAACTACAGAGAACAACTACCCCCCCCCATCCCCATAGTAGTGCCTCCCTCACCAATATTCTTGTCAATTCCTTAGTGAAGTCCTTCTCAGAACATAGTTTGTTGGGGTGGGGTGAGGGGGTCAGATAGGATAAATACAGTTTATAATTCTGGTCATTCATAAGTCTGGATTCCTTCTCTCACATACTAAGGAATTTCTGGTGTTCTAATCTCCTCTTCCCTACCTCTCTTTTCTTCTCCTTCATTTTCTTCCTTGTCCGTTTCTTCTCCCTCCTCCTTAGTAAAGTGTACCCATTTTAGGTGAGTAGTTTGAATTTTAACCCATGTTTCTGGTCTGAGATTTGATTTTTCTCTACTTGCAAGTTAAAAGTTAGCCTATTACTGTTATTACTAGATGCTGACTGAAGTGGGAGATTTCCTGGGTTGGAGATAAGGAATGTATTACAGCACAGCAAACAACATAAGAATCACCATATTTTCTTAAGTTCCCCTTCCTTCCAAATTCCACAAGGATGATACATTAATACTATGGATGCTTTTTTCAGTGTGTGTGTTTCACAGCTGAAGAACACTGAATTTGGGGGAATCCACTGCTTTTATAGAAAGCAGAAAGCAAATCAGCTGTTTGTTTAGCTGGGAGACTGCCTCATCTTTCAAGGTTACCAAATGCAGAATAGCAAAGGTTTAGGAAGGGTTGCTCAGGGTCTTGTAGTCTTGGCACACTGAGCCCTGCAGGGGAATGCATGAGGCCCAAGGAGGACTTTCCTTCCACGGTAACCACTGCATTAATCAAGAGATAACTTATTTCACCACTCTAAAATACACCTTATGCTTCTTTGCAGTTAGTAACCCTGCCTTCACCCCAGCCACCTACTGATCTGCTCTCTGTAACTAGAGGATTTTGAAAGTGTAATCATAAAATTTGTATTATTTTGTGTTTGACTTCTTTCTCTCATTCTGTTTTTGAGATATTCCATGTTCTTGCATGTATCAATTATTTATTCCCTTTTATAGCTATATCTGTCATACATTGTTCATTCATCTATTCATCATTTGAGTTGTCTTCAGTTTTGGCTATTTTGCATAAAGCTGCTAGCTTTGTATGAAGATAGATTGTCAAATAAGAATCTACAAATGGAATTTCTTGGTTATAATGTTGGCTATTTTTTAACTTTGTGAGGAACTGCCGAATTGTTTTTCAAAGTGGTTGCACTATTGTGCATTCCCACTAGCAATATATGACAGTGCCAGTTGCTTCAAATATTATTGATAATTGTACAGGCCCGGCTTCATTTTCTTGAATGTCAGTCTTTAAGTTGATTTTCTAGTGGGTAAGTAAGTGCTATTTAATTGTGGTTAACAGTGATGTTGGTTAACCAGCTTATCAGCTTTTTTCTATGGCTTGTGCTTTTTGTATCCTAAGAAGTATTTGCATATCCCAAAGTCAGGAAATTTTTTTTTGCATTTTCTTCTAGAAGTTATATGGTTTTAGCTTTTAAGTTTAGATCTGTGATCTGAATTATGAGTTGATGTATGTGTGTAGTGTGAGATAAAGACAGAACTTCCTTTCTTTCATATGGATGTGTAGTTATATCAGCATTATTTGTTGAAAAGCCCATTCTTTCCATACTGATTTTGGCAACTTTATTAAAAACCAAACAAATCACAGCCTTTGGGACAGGAGTCCCCTGTGTTTCTCGTTTGCTCAAAATCTCAATACAAAAACAAAAAAACCTGACCATATATATGTATGTCTGTGTGTGTATATCTATCTATACCTATCATCTGTGTGTGTGTGTGTGTGTGTGTGTGTGTGTGTGTGTGTGTGTATCTTCAATTCTATCCATTAATTCTTTATTTGGTACATCATGTTTAGGATTCTTATTTCTTCTTGGTATTTTATCATTATAGAATGTCTGTCTATATTGCTGTCTATCTTACTCCAAAGAGTACTTTTTCTGATAGGCATTCTAGGTTTATCAGGATTATTTTTACATGATACGATTTCCCCAGTTTTTTTTTTTTAACTTGTCTCTGTAAAGTACATTTCTTATAGACAATATGTGATTGGATCTTGCTTTTTTAAAAATCCAGTCTAGCGACTTCTACCTTCTAATGGTCTTGTTTAGACCCTTCACATTTAATGTAATTACCTGTATAGTAGGGTTTGAATCTATTGTTTTGCCATTCGATTTCACTTAGTTCATCTGTTATTCTTTTTTATTTTTTTCTCCACATCTTTTAATGACTTAGTTTTGTCTCCAGTTTGGCTTATTAACATTCTCTTTTGCCCTTTTGGTTATTCTAGGATTTACAATATGAAAATTTAATTTATAACAGTTTACCTTCAAATAATTTGGACTGCTTTATATATAAAATATAAAAACTTAATGTCAGAATACTTCCATTTCTTCCATCCTGTCTTTTATGATATTATATATTGCTTTACTTCTGTATATGTCATAACCTCTCAAATACATGTTATTAATTTTGCTTTAAAAAATCATTTATTAGGGCTGGGGCTGTAGCTCAGTGGTAGAGTGCTTGCCTTGCACATTTGAGGCACTGGGTTCGATCCTCAGCACCACATAAAAATAAGTAAGTAAATAAAGATAATGTCCATCTACAACTAAAAAAATTTTGTAAAGTCATTTATGTTTTTTAGAAATTGAAATTCACAACATCAAGCTAGCTGTTTTTATTTATTTGTTTGTTTATTTATTTATTTATTTATTTGCAGTCCTAGGCATTAAACCCAGGGTTGTTCTACACCTGAGCTACAACCCCAGCCCTTTTTATATATTTTCTAAAATTTTGAGACAGGGTCTTACACCCAGAAAAATTAACCATTTTAGAGTGAACAATCCAGTGGCATTTAGTACATTCATAGGATTGTATAACTATTCCTCTATCAAGTTTAAACATTTTTATTAAACATTTTTATCACATTGTAATAATATTTTATACCCATTGAGCAATTGGTATGTGTTCTTCCCTCCCCCAGCTCCTGGTATTCCCCCATCTGGGTACCTTCACTGTGGGTTTACCTATTTTGGATTTTTCATATGAATGGAATCATAAGATGTGAAATTTATTTTTTAAATAATCAGAAGCTGGAAAAGAAATCTTTTACCTAAATAGTTTGCATTTTTATCACTCTTTTTTCCTTGATCCAAGTTTCCTTATCTGTTTTTCTTTTACCTCAAGAACTTCCTTTAATATTTCTTAGAGTATAGTTCTGTTGGCTTTGAATTTATTCAGCTTTTGTCTATCTTTATTTTACTTTCATCTTCTAAGATGATTTTTGCTGGATATAGCATTCTATATACACAGCCTTTTTTTTTCTGCTTTGTTTTTTCTGTCAATACTTTATAGATATCTTTACATTTTCTTTTTTTAAAATATATATATTTTCAGTTGTAGATGGACACAATATATTTATTTTTATGTGGTGCCGAGGAGCAAACCAGTGCTTCATGGGTGCTAGGTGAGTGCTATACCACTGAGACACAACCCCAGCCCCTCCGTTGTTTTTTGACCTGCATTATTTCTTATAATAAATGTTGAAATAATCTTATCTTTGTTTCTATCTTTGTAATAGGTATTCTTATTTCTGTCTTCTTTTAAGATATGTGCATCATATGCATCTGTGTTGATGGCAACCATAGATACTTTTCTGTTCATTGATAATAATTTTCATTAAATTTTGCACTGTCATCAGGTCAAATAGCCTACCCCATTGTCTTCGAATTTCCTATTTCCATCATAATTATCATAGCCAAATTGTTTTTTTCAAGAACTTTATTCCAGTTGTTTATCATTGATAGTTAAGTAACACTTGGCTGCTGCAGTAGTGCCATGCATTACTGGAACACTGTATCATCACTGCCTTTCAATCCATCTAGATCAGAAAACCAAAGATAACTTTTTAGCCTTTAGGAGTCTGTTTCCTGTAACTGTTCTAATAGCAATTACTTTGTCAGTCACAGTTCACTGCAAGAAACCATTCTAGGTATCTAAAGCAAGAAGCCACAGAGATTTGGAGTTTGAATGCTCCAAATCATGTCTCTACTTTGCAGGAAAATTGGCAACAGTAATAATGTTTTTTTGTTTTGATTTGGTCTTCCAAATATCACTTAAATGTGTTCTCTTGGTGGAACCTAATTGTTTTTTAGGGAGTGGTGCTGGAGATTGAACCCAGGGGCACTTTACCAGTGAGCTACATTCTTAGCCCTTTTTAGTTTTTATTTGGAGAACAGGGTCTTGCTAAATTGCTGACGTTGGCCTCGAACTTGCAGTCCTCCTGCATCAGCTTTCCAAGTCACTGGGATTGTAAGTGTGCGCTACCATGCCCAACCGGAAAGTATAATTTTTAGTGTAACTTTCCATTCCACATTAGTCAGCATACTATGAAAATAACCACCAAATCTCAGGAATTTATGTAACAAAGGTTTATTTCTTGCTTATCTTACATTAGTGGCTGAGAGCTGGCTGCGGCTCTCCATATGCCATCTCATTGTAAAGAGCAGGCAACTCTTTTCTGGACCTTGCTGTTCTTGGAAGAGGTAGAGAAGAAATAGAAACATGTGGTTTTTAAAGCTTTTAAGCCGCAGATTAGCACATCTGATGTATCACATCAGAATGCCACATGTGCTTATGTTCCATATGTGTTTAACAGAATAGAATGGCTTTCTGTATGTGTGGGGAAGGAGGGCATGTAGGCCTGGGGCTACCTGGCTACATAAACACCCAGTGAAGGATCTTGCACTGATTGATAATGATGTTCCATGATCAGAGGAGACTTATTATCTCAACCCAGTCACTAATGATTCTCTCTCCCAGATGAAGACACTGAGCCATCAAGATCTTATGGGGATCCGGTCTTGCTTTTTTTTATTTAAACACTTATCATGTAAAATGTCATTGATGAAACTGTAAGAGAAAGCCATTTTAGTTTTTATGTAAGCCCAGGTCAAATCTCTAAAGAAAATCAATGCTGTTTACTTTCTCTATAAACTGTGCACCATATATAACCACATTGCAAACTATTCTGTGCTATGTAAAAATTTACTATAGCTATCCCTTTGTAGTGTGACTTGGCAGGGCAAATTGGCCTCTTTTACTTTCTACTTTTGTGGACATTTGGCTGTTAACCTCTGTAGATCTGTAATATGTAGTTGTAGGTGTGCTGATTAGACATCTGAATGTCTTTTTTTTACTTAAGAAGTATTTATTTGTTGTTTGCCAAGTTGATATTTTTAATATGGGAGGTGATAGACAAAAGATTAATGGTACATTATGATTAAATGCTATAGTAAAGTTATGTATCTACTTGGTAGCCTAGAAGAAAGAATACCTGTGAATATGAAGACATGTTGTCAGGAGGAGGTGGGTGGGGGGAATTGAACTTTGAGAGGCCGGTAGTTAAAGTGACTTCTGGAACATAGGGTGTGGGAAATGCAGTGGCACAAATTAAAACTGGGTAGGTAGAAGGAACTGGATTGTGAAGGACTTGCCATGTTAGAAGGAGGATTTCTTCTAGGCATGGGGCCCTGAAGGATGTTAAGGAAGGAAGTCTACTTGCTATGTCTTGGTGTGAGAGTAGAGAGAGTGAAGCCTGGAAACTAGTGGTGGGTTATAATTAAGTCTCCACAATTGGAGGTCTGAATAAATAAAGCTTTGGAAGCAAGGAGGTTTCAGATTTTATAGATATTTAGTGACTCGAATCTACAAAAATGTGCCAGAGAGGGAGAATAAAGACTTAGGATTGATGTTGGATGACTGAAACTGGCCCCGACTTTGACATAGGTATGGAAAGAATAAAGGTTTTGAGTGTAAATGTTTCTTTTAAGAACATTCAGGTAGAGCGGTCCAGGGGCAGTTGGTAAATCCTGGGCTTTCTTTTCTCCTATGCCTTAGAATATTGGAAATCTTGAAACAAAAATTTAATTATGATAGATTTTTTTCCCCC